TAACCAATGACAGCCAGTAAACAAATCGACTGAGCATAAAGGCTTTGAGTACGATGGTCCGTTCAATATATGATAAGCGAATTTGTGACCAGAAACCTATCTGCTGCTTGAAACCCGAAATCTTTTTGTCTAATGCTGGTAGCGGTAGTTGTCCACGAGTGTCGAAAGGTACTCCAAGGAATGTGCACCAATCCCGTCTGACCTTGGCCCGAAAAGGTGGCGGAGGCAACCACTCGCTGATCCAAAATAGTTCTGTTTTTTCTGTATTTGTTTTTGCACCGGATGCTTTATTGTAAAGATCAAACATCGCGATCGTTTCTGTTTCTTCATTAAGATCACGTACAATTGTGTTGACGTCATCGGCATAGGCAATTGCCTTAATTCGAGTCTCCTCTTCTTTAATGTTCCCATAAGGAAAAACGATTTGGCGAATTGCCTGGAATTGCGCACCAGGCGGTAATAATCCAGGTATTCGTGGATTTTGACGAATACGGTGCAACAAGGGTTCCAAAGCAATGACGAATAAACCACCGGATAGAGAACAACCCTGGCGCACACCTGTCTCAAATTCGATGGGTAGAGTGGTACTGTTATTTATCCTAACCCTGAACGATCCATTTGCGTATAGGAGCTTTACCCACCGGATAAAGTCGTGACCAAAACCGAAAACCTTCAATACCTGGAAAAGATAACGGTGGTTAATACGATCAAAGGCTTTCTCTTGATCCCACAATATGATGCCGAATGGATCACGTATCCTTGACTGATATTCAATGATGGACCGAATAAGGTGAACATTGTCGTGAATATGAGGGTGTTACTATTCCTTGTTCTTATCGAACAAAGAACGATAACTTTCACATGATGAGAGCGAAGCACGATATCACTGTACAATGCACATGTTCTGCTTCTCTACATTAAGTGTTCTTTTTGTGTTGCTTGTTGTGCCTTAACTCTGTCTTTCTCGAAGGAAACTACCTGACGAGACCCTTGAGAAAGGTCGAAACCGATCGTGGTATCTTCTTTGATTCTTTCAGAATGAATTCTGTCTGGGTCTCTAGTAACTAGGAAGGCGGTTGTAAAATTACTAAATATAATACATAATTTTCATTATGGCAGAAAAACGACTACCGGAGTGTTGAAAGCACTAAGATACGTCAAAATCATTATATCGGTCAAGTATTTAAACTGTTGACCCATGTGGACATATTTCTGAAAGACTTATTTATAGCTCATTTTGAAGCTCGTGAAATTCTCTATTTAATGGTAAATAGGTTTTTCAGAAACCCTTTCGGAAATCCTCAGGATTTTGTAAAATTTTTGTCGAAATATCCTTTAAATAGGATATAGCACAGCCTAAATACTGTAGATTCTGCATAGTCGATTACTCATAGTTCATCCGTGTTCAGACTACCAATAGTCGTCATTTGCCAGTCCTGAGATTCGTAGGAAGTCCGATACAAGGCCGGAACCGTGAAAAATGAAGGTCTCGTTTGACTCGCATATTGAAAGGAACATCCCGCGTTATCAGCTCATGAAAAATATCAATACAATCCTATTCGAAACTTTTTATACACGGCCCAGTTTTTCAAAGACCTTCTCAAAGCCTGTTACAGAAAAACTCTTCCAAGAAACTTTTGGTTATGCCAACATGTCCTCAAGTCTCTTTTATTGAATGATGAAAACCAAAGCTACCTAGTTCTTTTCTATCAAAAGTTATTCAAAAAACAGTCATGAACCATTCTTTTTTTTGAACGGACAATAGTACTAATTTTATGTGATTCTATAGTAATAACATACACATATACCAAGGGGGAAACAGCGTACTTTGTACTTGTAGTTAATTTGGCTAATGTAAAGTACTTTGAGCTACTTTAAAGTACTTTTCTGTAATTTCAAAGTACTTTGGCGTAATTTCGAAGTACTTCGGTGTACTTGAAGTATGCTGTTTCCCCCTTGACATATACACACAATTCCACACCTACAAAAATAGCAGAGACGCATGACCAAAACAAACGCAAGACAGTCTCTCTTGCTTCTTTCTAAGGAATTGCCATTACTACATGTTCCTACCAAAAGTATCGTGGTCCATTGCCCAAAACTCTCGTTTTTCTATAGCATCTTATATGTTAGAATGTAGAGTTGCTAACATAGTTAATTGTGTAATTAAATCCTTATGTGTAGATATGTTAAGAACAGTATAATCAATTTGAGAATTCAACATCATTTTTCCCCAGGTTGAGAGTGTATGTTTTTTCTATGAAAGTTCTTCGAACAAATGTATATTTAACAAGAAAACTATATTGACAAACTAGTCACTCATGATTCAACTGCAGCGGTCTTATAACCATAATCTTTCGATTGTCGATGTGGTGGATATTTGGTGAGAGAATATTTGTCTGATCTATATCAGACGATCATTGTAGTTAATGCTTCCATTGTCATAGTGTTTCAATGTGATGAGATCATCATCGTTTATTGCATATTTCTTGCGTTGATATCGTATTGTCAGTAACTCGGCAGTAAGTATAACGAACAAAGATATAAGGGCTACTCCCAATCTTGCAGCAGTACCACCTAATTCATCATTTTTCAGCGAGCTATGTATCATTAATAAAACATCAAAGGTGCCATGATAGAACACTGGCAAAAAAAGTATTTGCCATATTTTCATCGGTTCTCGTTTTAAATCTCTGCGTATGATGCCTATACCAATCAAATAACCACTCATCACATGAACAGGTGTGCTGATACATACTCGAAAAATTGCTAAAGCAGCAATTTCCCATATTTTATCTGTTGATAAGGACGATTTATACAAATAACCAATGTTTTCTATCGTACTAAAATCCAGCGCTACTGCTAACGCATGCATTAGATATCCACTCGTATTGGCTGTTGCCTTTGTTACACTGTTGATTGCCCAATACTTCAAACTTTCTTCCACAAAACTCGCCGTAATTTAGGATGTTAGTGCAAAAAACGTATAATAACCAAATGTCCGATTAGCGTTTAGTATCCTTTGGTCCGTACTGTTCCTATAGTTCTCCCATTGATCAATAAAGCAAAGCCGAGCAAAAATACCAGTTAATAATATTTCAATTATTAGTACTACTAAACAACCAGTTGTAAATCCGATGGCATATAATCGAACTATCAAATCCAGCTCTGCGTTGACTCTGGGCATTTTCCACCATTTCCATATTTAGGAGAAAACTGTAGGATAATAAGTGTAGTAAGAGAGAATGCTGTATAACTCAAAAGTAGGAGCTGTGTGGAGCGTAAGGTACTTTGTAGTTTACTGTAAATGAGAATAATGTGCCTGTTTACTCACAATACGAATTTTATTTTGAGATGTAGGACACAAACATTCAGTTCGACTCCATTTATTAAAAGTGTGTTGCGTAACGATTAAATTTTATTTTAAACAAACTTGGTATGGTGAGAGAACTTTTTCTATATTATTTCACCACTCATATCCATTTGTAATCACTGTTTGTTTAATCTTCATCGATACTCACCCTCACCTTTGAAGCCCAACGATGGCTGCACCCTAGAGTCGGTATACCAAACTACAGAATAATGTATTAACTTCTGTCAGTTTCTTTTCTGTTCTTATTTTTAACGTACGCGGCCTAATCTATTACCTCGATAATACTGTATTCAAAGGGAAAAATCTGATGTTTTTGTTTGAAACATGATGACTTGGAAAAGGATGAGAAAGAAAAAGTTGTTTAAAATCAGTCAAGCTACTCTGTTCAAGATGAACTGTGATATTGCCAGCCCGATATCTCAAAAACTCGAAGATACCTTTATTTAAACAATAGCTCAACATAACGTCCAATATGTGCAAGTCAGCTTGGGGTAAAAAATGAAAATTGTATACTCTAATTAATTTTATTTAAACTCGTCGAGAGATTTGACATCTCATGCATAGTGACTGATATTTTTGCTTGGATAGATAAGTACATGAGGACTGAAATGAATGAAAAATATTGTGTAAAGATTCTCATTCGAATGACTGACAGTACGAAATTATTTCAGTTTCTGTCTCTATGATGGACAACCAGATTTAGAAACTTTTATTGCTGTTAATTTTAATCTCTTCTTAGTATCAATATTTGTCAGATATCTCATATACAAACATATTATCATTCTCTGTCTTTCTTCACTTTTATTGAGAAAAAGTCTTTGGTTCACTCTCTATCGTTTCTTACTTTTCGTCGTCCATTTCTCTTATTTTGTTCTAAGCTCGTTCTTCAAGCGCTTTATTCAAGCGATAATAATTTTGACGGTATGCTTAAAACAGATGTCACGCAACCAAACTGTATTATCCTAGACGAATTTTAACACAGCTCGTGGAGCTATATTTAACACTGAAATAGGACTCACTTCAAAAGTGCGCTACAAAGAGTACCGCGGAATTAGCAGTATTCAATACTTTTTCCAAACTTTATTTTTGACTCAACTAATATCATTCTGAAGGATATTGTTGACACCCTAGGACGTAGCTCTGTCCGTGTGTGAACAACATTCTCGTTCGAAAACTTCACTTTTATTTATTTCTTGATCATGTGTATTCATAAATCCTTTCTGATGTAATAAAACGGCTACGTCTCATAAAAGATACAAATCCATATTTTACAATGTATCTCTTTTGAAAAACGAATATTTTAGCGATATATTTGCGTTTCTCAAAAGAGATACATTATTTCTCATTTCTATATAGAATGAAAACAAAATGAAATTAAATAAGAAGTAGAAGCAATCAAAGGGTCTCTAGACTAATATTAAAACGAAAAATATATTAAACAATTAATATTAAAAATCGATTAAATATTTTTCCACTCTAATTAAATATTAGTTCGTTCAATATTTTTCTGTCTTATACGAAAATTTTAATATTTTCCTGTGTCGTTTATCTCATTCTAAATGATCGCAATCTGAACCTACAAAGAAGGTACGAATATGCGAAACCTGACTTTTGTACCTTATTTCAATATTCTTCTATCTTACAACAAGAAAAATATTTATTAGTTTAGATAGAAAAATATTTAAATAATTTTTAATATTAGTCGTTTAATATTTTTCTTTTTAACTTTTTTCAGTGTACCCCAATCAAGATTATCTTCAGTGATAATTACTATTTATATTTAAAAAAATTTATTTTTCAAAAGAAATTTATTTTAATCTTCGCTGTTTTCATCCTCATCCGTGCTAATAACCGAATCACGAGTTTTCTTAAACACTTCCAAATAATTGTATCACAAATGACGACAAAGACTTTGATATTCTCCTAAGTCTATTTCTTCGCTCGATAATGCTTCTCTGGCAGAAATTAAATGAATATCCTGATCAACATCTTGTTTTTTTGCCTACGTTTCATTTTTTTGTTTTGACATATACCTAAGCAAAATAACGGATGAGGATGAAAACAGCGAAGATTAAAATAAATTTCTGAGGGTGAGGGTGAGTATCGATGAAGATTAAACAAACAGTGATTACAAATGGATATGAGTGGTGAAATAATATAGAAAAAGTTCTCTCACCATACCAAGTTTGTTTAAAATAAAATTTAATCGTTACGCAACACACTTTTAATAAATGGAGTCGAACTGAATGTTTGTGTCCTACATCTCAAAATAAAATTCGTATTGTGAGTAAACAGGCACATTATTCTCATTTACAGTAAACTACAAAGTACCTTACGCTCCACACAGCTCCTACTTTTGAGTTATACAGCATTCTCTCTTACTACACTTATTATCCTACAGTTTTCTCCTATACTTGCAAAAAAATTTAGCTTTTCTTAATGACTGATTAGTTAGCTCTGTTATCTCCAGCATGCACATTCATTATGAACCCTCCACAACATTTCCAAAACAAACCAAGAAAATTCTCTTCTGTAACGACAAGAGTTTCTGCATTGTCGATCAAGATAATTAGAGAGAATAACAGAACAGAGAACGAAATATGAAGAATCGAGAATGAGAAATGAGAGAGAATTATTTTTCTTCTTAAGAACAAATGGCACCGGACAATTGATGCTAATGAATTTTAAAAATTCCAGGTGGAAAAACATTTTTCTTCCACTAATGTAGCTTATTGCACCTCATAAAGGGACTGCTCCTATGATTCATATAACTCAGTGACGATTTCTATGAAGCCTTATGAATTTCCACTAGTTTTTGAACTTTTTACGCATCTCTAAGTGCAGCCACACTTTCTTAGAGATTGCCAGTGAGTTAAATGAATCACCGGAGAAGTCTCTTTATGTGTTTCATAACCGATTACTTATAGTCCATAAATTTTAACTTCATAGAGCGTTCCTGTTCAAAGACTTTTGAACTTTTACCTACATTTTTTTAATAAAATTTAAATTTTCTTTTGAATTCATTTCAAAATTCTTTTTAGATAGACTTGAAGAGCACAAGGAAATGAGAGAGAATTACATTTCGTCTCAAGAATAAATGGCGCCGGATAGCCAACTCTTATAAATGTACAAAAGATTTCCAAGTCCAAAAACACCTTACATTTATTGATGTGTGTGTATTATGCTCTTATTTTTGCCCTATCGGGCTTTTAAAGGCAATCATGAAAAAAAAGAATCTTAACAATATAAGTTAAAAGTAAAACGTTAAGAAGTTGGAAAGTTAAAAAGTTTAAAAGAAGATATGACAGGGAGAGAGAGAACAGTTCACAAAAACGAATCAGGAAATACACAAAAATTATCCAACTCTGTTAGTTCGAATAGAGTTATCGCAGTCATTTTTTAAACTATAGCACATATTTGAATAACAAAGAGATGTGAAACGGAACGTTTTGAACGGATGAATTTTTTAATAACAGATGCTTTTAGCAACCACTGTTCTCTATACACATTTAATGTACAAGGTTCATATACGAAAGCACCATCAGTTGTAAGTTCTAACGCTCGCCAATATTTTTTCCGATAGGCCACGCATTGATCCTCAAGCCCTAATTTAATTGCACATAAATACGAAGGTGAAATCAGTGCACTTTCTCTTTTTTACGTTGTCGTCGTGTGTCGTTTCTATATATGTATTCTTGTGCTGTCCTCTGTCCTCAGTCAATTTATGTTAAGATGTAATGGATTCGCCTCCTTCTAATCACATTGTACTGATTTTTTAACATTTCTTCTATTACATAAAGTTTATAAGGAATCATTTCGCAAAATCGCGCCATGCACTCGACGCAAACAGGTATAATAAAAGTGGAAACAATCTGACTGCTAACATTCTGTAAACATGGGAAATATGGGAAAAAACCGAGTAAAAAAGTAGGTAAACAACTTCCCAAGATGAATGCTTCTATTGTAATGACCAGAAATCAGAAATAAACGACAAAAAATAATTAAAAACAATCCAATGAGTATTATAATTGAATGCAGTTTCTTTTCGCTCGCACGCGATAATGCCAAGAACAAGTTCACGATCACTGGTGGTGTTGGTATACCAATTTTGAACGAAGAAGAGGACTTCAGTAGCGAAAGCATAATCACCAACGATACATAAAACTTGCTCTAAAGTGATATCTACTACACCCACATTAGGTGTATCACATTTTACTCGAGTGCAGAAAATACCCGAACAGAAAACTAACCCGACACCTCCCCTAGTATTTTCACCGGCCTGGTAAAGAACTGAAATCCATTGAAAAGTGGTGAGAGAAACGAAAAATTTACTGCCCCTACTTCTAATAAAACTAGACAATCAAAGTTCGACTTTTCGAAGAAAAGTTCCTCCCATCTCTCAGCTAGTATGTTAAATAACAGAACATTGAAATGCGGCAGTAAGTGTTTCTTGCCACTGAATAGTTTGATTGTTAAATTGACCGAGAATGTCTGATGCGGATTATAAATGTAATGGGAGAATGTTCTCAAGTGACTAGAATGATCAATGTTATTGCACAAATTGAGTGATTAATACTTTCGAACCAGCTGATAGTTATCGCCCAATATATGAATAATCAAGTAAGCATCACTGTGGTAGAAGATGCTTTATCTCACTGGCTCTGGATTTGGGTTATACAATAGCAGTGAGAAGTCATATCAGATGCCAATTATTCATCCCGTGCATTTCATTGTAAACAGGTATGCACCGGTTTGGTTTTGAAACCGAAAAACCGACACACAAAAAAACGATGTTCGGTTTAAAGCGACACCGAAAAAATTGGGAACTTGTTTTTTAAGTTCTAAAATGATTTTTGTTTTGCTAGAGTTAGAAAGTATCTAGTAGACACTGTTTTTATGTTAGTTTAAACATTTTATTCAAAATAAGAAAAAACATAACTAATAATAATCACAAATGCAAGCGGGTAGATAAATAATATAATATTAAACAACTGCCAATTTGTAGTGAAAATATATTATGGCTATCTATCCGAGTTAATTTATAACAATGCAGAACGATTGCTAACTTTTTTTGTTCAATTTCACTTAGACTTTGGCAAAGGCAGGCTAACCGGCTGTCAGACATTAATTGTGGATCATTTGGAAAATGATAAGCTCCAAATCTAGTCAGTTGATTTGAAGCTCTTGAGAATACTGCCCGTTTTGGTACAAGTCATTTGAAAAGATTCACTTTAACTTTTCAGTTTTTAAGTGACCTTTATTATACATTCGAGTAAAGTGTGTCAATGCATAACAATAATTCGAGCGTTTATTTTCGATCAGATACCTAATCTTGAATTTAACTAATACCCAGAACTCCGATGATATAGAATTTCTTTTATCATAAAAGTGTTCTTTATGTTTTTTGTACTTTTCGTTTGTTGACAGTATGGATTTCGACGAGGCGAAATATTTGCTAGATAATATCGCATTGTTGATATTTGCTTTGAAGCTTATAATGTATAGAAGTACTCGATATATCACACATTAATTTTTTTTCACTGCCGTTAAGATTCTAAAAGAATGTTACTGTCGTCCTTTGTTATTGTTACAATTTTTTATCAGAGCGTTGGGCAAAATATTCCTGTTACACCATTTAATCCAGCGCCAATATGCATTACCGTCAACGATCTGCCCCCACCCTATAACGCATCATCGGCAGACAAGCCTTCTCATGTCATTCCTCCACCAAAAAATCCGTCATTATTTGCTCCTGATAAGTTCACTGTTTCAATTTATCAAGATAAATTGGCTAGTCCTCGTTATCTCCAGAATACACCAACAGGAAATTTGCTTGTGACAGGTGAAAACGGCAACAAAATCACATTGCTCATCGATAGTAATAGAGACGGCAGCGTTGACGAATCGACCGTGTTTGCCGATAAATCGAATGGTTTGAACAGTTGTTTCGGAATGGCTTTCAATGATGGCTATTTTTATTTGGCCAATGCGGGTGATCTCAGACGATATCGATATGAGGATGGCAAGAAAAAAATCGAAGGCACCGGACGAGTGCTCATGACATATCCGAGTACTTATCATTGGACGCGAACTGTTATCATCCCTCCATGGAAAGATCATCTCTTTGTCTCTGTAGGATCAGGCAGTAACGTGGATATTGAACCATTACCTCATGCCTCAATTCAATCGGCTAATTTCGACGGATCAAACAATCAAACGTTTGTCTTTGGTACCCGAAACCCTGTGGGTCTCGCTTTTCATCCGATCACAAAGGACTTCTACGGCGTTGTTCAAGGACGCGATGAGTTGGGTGATGATTTGGTACCGGATTATTTCACAAAAATAAATCAAGGAGATTATTATGGATGGCCGTTTGCGTACTTGTCATCGAAAAATATTGATCCAAGACACACATTCTCTAACGGTTCAAGTCAACGACCAGATCTCGTGAATAAGACAAAAACGCCCGATGTTTTATTTCAAGCACATTCAGCTGTGTTGGGAATGCAATTTTATACCGGTCAAATGTTTCCGCAACGATATCAAAACGGAGCATTTGCTGCTTTCCATGGGTCCTGGAATAGAAACTCGGGAACAGGTTATAAAATTGTGTTCATACCATTCGGTGATGATAATCGTCCAACAGGTTGTTACGAAGATTTTCTCTATGGTTTCTTAACAAAACCGGAGATCCCTGAAACATGGGAAGACCAGTAGGAGTACTAGTGGCTAAAGATGGCAGTTTGTTGTTCACAGATGATGGAAATGGGCGAATCTATCGAATTAAATATAATCCGTAGAGACGGTTTTTTCATTTTTTTCGTATTTGTGACTTGCTAAGATTTTGAGGAGAAAGGAATCAGAAGTTCTAGACATGTCGAAATCTTATGTATTTTGAATTTAATGAAAGTTTCAAATAGTATGCAAGGGATACTTCTTGAAGTTGAGAATATTGATGATAATGAGCAACAAAATAGCACATTCTGGATACGTACGAAGATTGTTTATACAAGCGTTAATTTATTTCAGTGTTGACAATGTCAGCAGTGTCCCTCTATCACCGAGCCCATAAATTATTCGATTAAACGATGTGTTTCAGCGGTTCAGCGAAGAGGAAAGTACTGTAGAGTAATTATAGATTCCCTTCGAGTCGTTATTTTTTTTCTTTCCACTGAATGTTTTTCTGTTACAAACAACTAAAGACCTAAGAAGCAAAACCTTTACACCTGATTATTTCTTGAAGTCTTCCCGACAGCCCATTTGTCGGTTGCAAGAGTTATACCGAAAAAAAAATATTTCTCGTCCAGGAAAGATATATCTCCTGATTGGGAAATATGTCCTCATCGGAATCTCCTCTATTGGGAATATACCTTGACGTGTCTACTCTGGAACCCTACAGCGCATTTTACAACGCTCCCGCACATGTTCCGATTGGTTCCATTAGGAAGGACACGAAAAACTATATTGTTTGACGCGGTGCAGGTGAATCTCATTCGCTTTTGCCAGGTCGGATACTGTAAAAATGTTGAATAGAAATACAATCAAAATCTTTGCCGATCGGGAAAGACATTTTTATCATATGTTACAGTAAAGGAAAAGAAAAAACCAAGAAAAAGGAAGAATGCATAATTATAAATAGTGTCGTCAAGTTCTAGAAGCGTAAGAAATATCTAATGACTAGTCTTTAAGTGATTAATATACTGAATGTAAATAGATCCAATGTGTATGAATGTTTAGGTGGTATGATTGTGGAGATTGATTAGTTGCTAATAAATGACATATATATCAAAAGTTAGTTCTGAGTTAGTTGGTAATAAAAAAACCGGAAGAAAAAACATGTGAAGATGCCGAGCATCGATCTCGGTACCTCTCGCATGCTAAGCGAGCGTTCTACCATATGAGCTACATCCCCATGATGATATTCAAGAGAAAACCCATATATCTCCATATTAGAAGAGCTGCATGTAAGCGGAGGCCATCATATTTGCAACAAGAAATTTGATGATTGCTGTTGATACGACGTTCTAAACCTTTATCGAACGTTCATTTCAGTGTGCATCTAATGCTCAGAGTCTTCCATTATCTACTAAATAATTCTCCGAAAAGTTTAAAGTTCAAGATTCAAGGTAAGTTATACATTTCTCTGTTTGTTCCCATAACTCACATATGAACAACACCAGAACTTAACTGACCTAATACAGCGAGTACATTATATAGATGGATACCCTAGTCAACGTTTCTTATAAAGGAATCAGTTACTTATTGAAAACGAACCTATCCTATAAGATCTGATCTGAGATTGATGTGTAGCAATGAGTGTAATAACTTGTTATCCGATGGTGACTTATGTGAGTACTATACAACAGGTGCTTTTGTGATAGCTTCTACTGCTTTTTCAGTACATGTATGTATGGTATTTTGATGCATATTACTAGTACCCGAGCTGCACTATCTTCTACCACTTAGAGAGTCCGAATTGAATGCCACCTTTATAGCGGAAAAGAGATCGAAAGCTTCGTGTTTTGCTCAAGATCGGTAGTCTAATTGACATCGTGTGCCGTAAGTGGGAATTGTTTTTGTTGGCAGTAAAGCAGTCAAATAAGGTGGAGCGTGACCGTAGTAGATTTCGTGAAACAGGGTCAGCTTATATTAACAAAAACAATTTCCACTTACGGCACACGATGTCAACTAGACTACCGACTCCCTACGGTTTCAATCAAAACTATCAAATTTGATCTCTGCTTTTTCCCTCGCACAATCAAAGTATTGAACGATTTGCGTCAGAACATGATCGAAAATAAAAACTCTTCTACGCTTACACAGCCACTACAGTGGCAAAATCTTTTATTGTACAGTAGCAATGTTCCCCGATAGCTCCTTGCCAGACTGTTCCCTGGTAGACTTGAATGGGAGATGATGCGTTGTCCGAAACTGAGCGGAATATTTACTTAATTTTCACTTTGGGATGCGAATCTGACACAAATGTACATTGGTAGACTCACTTTTTGATCCAGATTCCAAATATGATATTTTTATAGCATAACGACTGAGTTCTGATTGAGAAAATTGAGAATTAAGAGTATAATTCTGACTTTTTCGCCTCTAATTTGAAAAAGGAACTTTTTATTCCAATCTCGCAACTAATTTTATCTTAGACAAGATATTCTTATTTCAGGTAATAGAGATCAGGCTGTCAGAGATCTTGATCATGTTGATGTGATAGTGAATAATAGACTTTCAAGTTGTTTTTTAAAGTTTCATCTGCATCTGAGAATACGTTTGAATTTTTAAAAAGTAGCGCTATTTGTTTGACCGAATAGCCAGAAGATGCTATAAAGCTTTTAGTATCCATGAAGATAGGTTTTTTATAAAAGAAGACACAAACACTCTCTATGTAATCTAAATTTGCGTTGAATCATATAACTCCTATCACAAATACATGTTTTATTCAAATTCAAATTTTTGCTGCAAGGCATATTGTGTAAATAGACATCAACAATTTTAATCAATTCTGTTTATTATCAAACTTGTCTGCTCTAAAATAAGAATTAGATCTCGTATCACTCTCACATAAACCACGGTTTGATTCATGATCTAAATGTTAATCTCGATACCTTGCATTAGACCATTGAGTATAGACCAGGTATCGGCACAATCAACAGTTACACATGAAAATCCCAGTTCACGGTAGAAGAGTTAATGTATAGAAATATCCGATACGTGAAACAAAAGAGAAAAACAAGACAAGCTTCAAGCAACTCGTTACCAGGCACTTATTCTACGTCATCGTTTTACAAGTCCAAATACACGGAGCCGTAAACATCGATATGTGTTTAGACAATGTGTAACTAGTGCTAGTTAAAAATTAGTAAGCCAGTTCACAAGGCTGGAGTTTGTTTGATTCTGTTAGAATGATTTTGTCTATCTTATAATCAACAGGGTAGAGACACGAAGACAAAAGACAAGAGACGAAAATACAAAGACATATATATCGAAAATATAAAATGAAAACGAACAAACGACAGAAAACGAAAATGTCAGGTGTAATTTTTTAATGAAACATCTAATATTTGTTAAAAATTCCATTGTCATGCTTGCAGTTACGAGAGCTGCGTAGTGGAACTAGGGATGGCACTTTCCTGTAATTAATTTACTCAAGAAAACGATTACTCATTACTTGCGAAAGTAAAGATTTTTAATCGAGTTTTGTTTGGACTTCTGATGATCAAGATTCCAAAGAACCATCTAACAAAGAGTCATCCTAAGAAAGTATTATGGGAATCAGCATCAAAAAGTAACCATGGAAATGTTATTTTATTCAGAAAAGCGATGCACACTTGGAAATGGTACCTCGCAAGAGAAAAAGGGCAAATGCGGTCGAGGTTAGAAAATTTAATGGAACATATTGCCAGCAACACATGTTCTTTTGTTGCTGTCTACCGTGGTAGCGCTCTTGAAAAATGGTTGGAAATCTTAGTCTGAAAGAATATTAACGTTTCTTGTAGTTGAAATGGAATCTGAGCAAAATTTTTTAACGAATTCATTTAGATTAGCTATTACAGGATAGTATTTTACATGTATTTTATATAGGATTCATAACAGATGTCTTTTGATATGAGTAACGTAGGTTGAACACTATTCTGAACTTTTGTTCTCATAATTACAACTACGTATGCACCGGTATCGGTTCACCGACGCCGAAGAAAACGATGTTCGGTTTAAACTGACACCGAAAAACTCTCAAACATTTTTATTTAAGCTTTTAAAATGATGTAAACAGTGAGCATAACATCTGCTTACCATTGTCAAAGAAACATCTGCTTTTATCTGTATCTGGTTCAGTCGACCGACAATCGAAAAACTAAAACCAGAAAAAAGCACACGCAGATCTACATCTTGACTTAACGAGTTATATATAGCTATCGAGACATAAAATTTCACAATAATACTAACGAGATAATACTCTCCAGATGTCCAACGCCGACTTCAATGTTCTTTTGCCTATAGATACTACATAGTATTCTACCATCTTTGAAAATTTCTTGAATGCTCGGTTTCTTCGGTGTCAGTTTAAACCGAATATCGTTTTTTTCTTGTCGGTTTGAAATCGAAACCGGTGTATACCTACTTACAACGAATTTAGACATGACTGACCCACGCGTCTTGCACGTTTGAATATTTCGTTTCAGACTTGATTACACCATGCTCTACTGGGACTTTTCTTCGAGAACATGATGTAATCAAATTCCCTGGCGTAGAATACAGGTTCAGAACAACTGAGTCCATCTGGAGTTGATAAACCTTCCCACTGATAGGAAATCCGTCTTCTTAACCACCCCAAACCTGTCCTCAAATTATACCAGCTTGTATACAAATACATTGTAGAAAAATAATTATATTTTCTAGTAGCGTCTGAAATTCTCTATTAGTCTCTACTTTCTCAGCTCGGATTCGAAATTATTGCTAGAAAAAAGTTTTATATTGTTAATGCCTCCCATCTATCACATTCACAGGAATTTTAACAGATGTGGCCTTCCAGTATTTTCTGTTTTCCGCGCGCTTCTTTAGGACTCAAAGGTTAATGTTGTTTTTAATAAGATGCGCCACGAAATACTTTACAAAACTATACCTAAACCTTAATTTCAATCAAGAAAACTACACAGATTATATGCAACACAAAAAAAATGAAAACTTCGAAAATCTGATATTTTTTCCAC